CGGACTGCCGTGTTGACAAATATTTTGTTTTGTTTTGATATGAATGACATATATTTTAAAACCCCATCTCCCATCTTTGTGTTGAGGGGTTTGAAGGAGAAATAAGCCTCTGTGACGTAGAATCGGTTCACCAATCTCTGGGGTGTTATTGTATTTTCATGTACCCACAATTATACAACGCAAGTCTCGTATGTCTGACTGACTGTCGAGAAGCCCGACCACAGTAAGTAATTGAAAGAAACATTAAAACCACCACAGCATGTTAAAAACATTAAATATTCAAATCGTATTATTAACAAGTCATATAATCATGAATAAATTCAATAATATCAGCCATGTTGAGCGAAAGAGTTCACGTTTGTGGGTACGAAAAGGGTTGTTCCACCAGAGACAATGCAACTCGGTTTAAAAGATGATGTGCAGACTTGGAGTGATATATTCCGGGAATGCCTGGGTAGACAGACGTACAAAACACATATTTCATTCATTGTCAGACCTATTGTACGATGACCCGAACAATGTAATGATATGAAGAATATATATGGAAGGTGTATGGGTGAACACCCACTTGGGTACTGTCTTTAACTCTTTGAAAGTTGTCGCCATTGGAGGGACGACGTGCTTGCCACGCAGACCCGATTAAATGATGGACACGTGTGTATAGATTGGTGGGAGCCACTGATTGGATAAACTACAACTCGTAATCGAGACAGCTGATTGGTAGATCGTTCGGTTACAGCTGTTAATAGCTGTCTTGCTACCTTAGGAACTTGACAATTTAACAAGGTCTCTGTGTGTAATATAGACCTGTGAAGGGTGTCCACTTTCTCCGTCATTTACAGTCCACTGGCTGAATCTGTTCTCAGCTCTGTAGTAGTATGGGGTAACATAAGTAACAAACATTAGCAACAACAATAATTCTGTTGTTTGTATTCGTTTAGTGATTGTCACCAAAAGTGAATGTATTGCCAGAAAAAAAACCATCGCATTTTTTATAATGTTGTTGATGACATCATACATTAAATTATTTGTATTCTTCCTTTGTTTGTTTTATTTATTAGTTTCATCTCCGGAATTGTTCTTGCATTTGCTTTTCTTCTCAGTCCTGTGAATGTGACATCGCCTCGCCAGAGGTTCAAACAAAACTCAGTTGCATTACGTTTAAGAACATATCTGCTCTCTCGTCCTTGTACAACATCAAAAATATTTTTTTCGAGGCACTGCTCCATGATTTTGTCACGGCGTTTACGGAATAGTTGAAGGTCATGTTCAAAACAGGGACCATATTGCTTTATCTTCGACGCTAATATTTTTTCAAAATATTGGTACAATTTCAAGTCTGACTTGTTCCATTGGAGGATGCTATCTTTCTCTGTTGAAGTCAAATTTCTTCTTTGTGTTTCCTTTCGTATTCCGTTTGAAATATACAATATATCATCAACAGACCAACATAGTAAATCGCGTAATATTAATAAAGATTCATCAAAATACTCTGTGATAAGGATGAGATCCATCTCCCTGTCCAACGACAATATCTTTTCTTCAACTATGCTTTCATTCAGCGTTTGTTCGGCGGTCAAACCCAAATCAAAGAGTTGCCCATTCTGAACAAGACCTTTCATTGGAAGTTTATCAATGTACTTTGTCGAGTTACGGAATAGCTCCATAATTGGATCATTACTTCGAATGTACTTATTCCATCTGAAATAACTAAACGACGACTCAAACTGTTTCACTGGATGACGTAATATAGTTATGTATGTTGCATTTGGTATCACACTGTCTAGTTCTGGTCGGTTGTACCGGGCGTGGTTTGTCAGCATGTCAAAGTGTGTCCCTTCATCTATCTCTGCTACCATACTTCTCTGAAACGGCTGGGAAGTCTTTGAAAATATGTGATTTCCCTTCGGGATTGCCATAGTTAGATTTCGTGTGTAACCGTATCTTTCGATAATAGAAGCTAAGGTAGTGCTTCCGGTCTTGTGTGTTTTAATATAGATTAATTTCTTAACTGGGTTACAGTCCACGGGGCGGTAAAAACGTTTTATACACTGTTCGGATGGTAAGGTGGTTTTTAGACGATGAACATCATTATTTGCATACACATTGGGACTCCAGCTGAAAACAAAGAAAGATAAACTAGTTATTTCATATTTATCATCACACTTCAACTGTATCTGAGCATTCCTTATTGGGAAATAAACAAATATATCTGATAACCAATCAAATAATCACACATACGTCATGAATTGAATAATATGCAATGTCCAAATGTCCAACGATAAAGACTTTCCGTTTTTGACATTGTTAACTTATTTTGTATTTATTACTTATATTTCATTTCATTTTGTATTTTGTACTTATATTTTATTCAGCTTCTTTCAGTCATAAGTCAAGACAAATAAAAAGCAAAAATATAGAGAATATAGCAAATTATCTTTTTTCTGTAGTATTATTGTCTAATCGGTAATTATGAGAATTATAAGGGTGCATAAGAAATACATTTCGTTATGAATTATTCTATATAAATTTCTGAATTACCTTGTCAAAATCAGTATTTATAGGTTTCCCACCCAAAACGACATAATTTCACAATGCCGAAAAACGGAAAGTATTTATCATAATGTTAATTAACCCTGTATTAGAATAATAACAGAATAAGAACAGTGTATAGTGACCTTATAGTAGCTGCGGTGAAGCAATAATACAGGGTATTTATTGTGATCTAGAAATAGAAATCTTAACCACACCTCGAAGAATAAATCCACTTGACTTATCCCCCCTTCGGGAAGGGTCTCTTACCAATGGTTGAAGTTTTTTTTTAACATTTTCAGTGGTCGGGGGGGGGGGGGTCTTTAGGACATTTTCAGGAATCAAAATTGTTTGCTGTTTTGATATGTGGGAATGATTTGCTCATTTCACCTTAATTTCGAACTTGTGTTATATTCAATTTACCACAAATTATGTATTCACTGTGTAATTTCGTATCAAATGAAAACATACTATACAACATGTATGTACTAAGAAATTGGTCGTTATTGTAAATTTGTTTAAATGGGTGGGTTTATCTTAAATATTTTTTGCGAAATTTGGTCAACTGAAAGTTGGTGCCTCGCAAACGCGTATATAATTAATGTAAGTGTCTATTGACATATTTGTCAGAACTGTATTTTACCCCGCGCTGATTCACCTGCATTTCTACGAATGTGTTTTGGTTTGAAATTACCCTACTAACCGCAGTAATGTGGGCGCCAATAACCAATAACAAAATAACA